TATATTAAAAGTGAGTAGTATTTTAAGTAAGTTGAGATAATTTTTAATTATGCGGGTAATTGGTTAATTATCGGGTAACAGGACATTACCTAATTACCTAATAAGTGGATAAAGATTTATATTTTTCACCCTACCTCCACGTGGCAGCACCCCTCTAAGCCTATGAATGACTCTTAAGTCATTAGTCTAGGTGGCACAATTGCTATGTGAAAAAGTGTGTGCACAGATTTTCTTTTTATAAGCTTTTCATATCCTTTCCACTAGACAAACACAGATTGAATTTACAAACTGAGTGTTCTGCAGAGATCATTGATTTATTAAAGCAAGCACGGACTAAATTGGTAATTATCTAAAATATTTTGAATAAGTCTAAATTTTCCCATGTGGAAGCAACACATGGACCCTTAGTGACTCTTGAATTAAATTGCAAGATGGCACCTTTGAAAGGGTTTGGTACTCTAATCCCCATTCTCCACAATATTAAAATAGAGGACTACTCAACCTGGATACTACCAAGCAAAAGAGAATGTTCAGTTAAAGGGTAAAGCCTTAAATAATAGGCAATAGCTATCTAGCTTTTATTCATTGTTAATCAAAGCGTAGTGTTAAACTTCACAGTTCATCAAGATCCTTAAAACAAGTTTTAAGCAACTGTACCTCTTGAACCGAGATTTGCTTTCATCTTTTGCTTTTCTTAGATCNATTGGGTTCTATGATACAGTGTTTTCCCACTTACGCTTGTACATTATGAGTCGTGGCCATGTTGGCCCATGATAGTTACAAAAGGAATGAGTTCAGCCAACTCGACCTATGTATGTTCTAGTTTTGGTCGAACGATCATGAGTTACAGAGTGGTTCGCTCGGGCCAGCACAGCACCGGGTGCCAGCCACGCCTCCCCAGGTTTGGGGCGTGACATTATAAATGTTTCAAAATTTACAAAGTTATTTAGACTTACAGGCGAAATTCTTTATTCCATGTTTTATCTATGTATCTTATGTATTGATCTTTATGCCTTACATACTCGGTACATTATTTGTACTGACGTCTCTTTTGCCTGGGGATGCTGTGTTTCATACTTGCAGGTCCCGATAGACAGGTTGAGAGCCCTCCAAGTAGGCTATCACCTCAGTGGAAGATGTTGGTGCGCTCCATTTGCTCCGGAGTTGCTATTGGTCAGTATGATTAGGACATGTGTTGATTGGTATGGCGGGGCTCTGTCTCGACCTTTATGACATTTATATATCCTTAGAGGCTTGTAGACATATATCGTGTATGTGAAAGATTGTACGGCCTTATCAGCCTATGTTCAGTGTAAGTTTGGTCTTATAGGCCCTATGTCACATGTATAAGTTTTTATGTCGGATTGGGTCGTCTTATAATGAGTATTCCCTTATGATTATTCTGGTTAGCCATGACGGACCATTTGGCCCATTTTCCAATCATAGTACGTTAAGAAAGATATGTTACGTTGATACTCGGTTGAGTAAGGTACCGGGTATCGCGACCCTTCGGTTTGGGTCGTGACACAGAGATAGGGAAGATCACTCTCGCATCTAGCAATTTGATGATCTCCTTGTGCACTACCTCCTCCAAAATTTTGTTCAACTTTTGTTGGGGCTGCACCACTGGCTTGCTATTTTCTTCCAATATAATTTTGTACATGCAAATGGCTGGACTGATTCCTTGAATATCAGCTATACTCCAGCCAATGGCCTTCTTGTGTTTTTTTAGCAGCTCCATCACCTTTTGCTCCTGTGTACCTGTCAAGTCAGCAGAAATAATCACAGTAAAATTATTAATTTCAAGAAAATCATATTTCAAATAAGTGGGGAGGACTTTCAATTCCACATTAGGCTTAAAATCCTCCTCTTTTAGTTCCTCCTCATTAACCACTTGATTCTCAGTTTCAAGAGCTTCAGCCTCTTTCTTTATTTTAAGATCTTCATCCTCCACTGTGCTATACTGAGTAATACACCTTTCTAGAGTATCCCCCACAAGTTTGTCAAACTCGTATGTTTCAGTCATTTCCTCAACAACATCCAGTTTGAAACACAAGTAGGCGGACGCCTCATCACTTAGGTATTTTATCATCCTCTTCACCTGGAACACCACTTTTTTAGTGCCTATCTGAGCATAAGCTGGCCCTCATAGATATCAAGGATAGCTCTGCTTGTACATAAAAATGGCCTCCCTAGAATTAGAGGCACCTCCTTGTTCACCTCCATATCCACCACAATAAACTCTACGGGGAACATAAATTTGTCCACCCGCACTAGAATATCCTCAATGATTCCTCATGTAAAATTGTGGTCTAGTCAGCCAGTTGTAAGGATAATGGTATTGATTTAATCACTCCAAGCTCACCTTCCAGTTTCCTGAATACAGATAGAGGCATTAGATTTATAGAAGCACCAGAATCACAGAGGGCCTTGTCGAATTTTTCACTCCCCAATGAGCATGGTATGGTGAAGTTTCCTGGGTCCCCACACTTTTGGGGAATTATATTTTGTAATATGGCACTGCAATGGGCATTTAGCTTGACCACGGTTGTCTCCTCCAATTTTCTCTTGCTAGACAAGATTTCCTTCAAGAACTTTGCATAAGCAGGCATCTAAGTGAGTACCTCTATGAAGGGAATGTTCATATAGAGTTGTTTGAGCATCTCCAAGAATCGCCCAAAACATTTGTCAAGTTTTTCCCGTTTCATCTTTTGAGGGAATGGTAGAGCTGACATATGTCTGCTTTCTTCAATCTCCTTTTGTACCCCACTACTATAGCCTTTCTGCTCTTCACCCTTTTTCTCTATTGGTGTCTCTGCCTGCTTGTTCACTACCATGGGTCTATCTTTCACCACTAGGTCAACAAATGTTTTGCCACTTCTTAGAGATACAACTTTGATTGTTTTCTTTGGGTTCTTTTCAATGTTAGAGGGCAAAGTACCAGGAGCCCTCTCAGATAACAAATTTGCAATCTATCCCAATTGTCTTTCTAAATTCCGGATGGTCGTGACCTGCTCTCGTATGGCTGTGCCCTTCTCTCAGATGGCTGTTCCCTGAGTCTCAAATTTTTTATCTGATTTGTTGATGAATGCCTTCATGATATCTTCCATACTAGACTGATTTGACTATTGTGGCTGGTATTGCTGCCTTTGCTAGTTCTGAAAACCTGGTGGTCCTTGACCCTGGGGTCTGAGATTATTTTGCTACCATGAATTCAAGCTCCCACTAGGTGAACTCCACGAAAAACCTGGATGTCTTTGAGCCATAGCATTATAGTTGTTCCCACCTTGGTAGTTTCCTCTATTAAAGTTCCCCACTGCGTTGACTTCCTCAGCTGATGATTGACACTCATGTGTAGGGTGTCCCAATCCACAAAAGTCACATGCTGCTTGTTGTTCACTCTGTAGCTTGGCCAATGTCATTTTCCTTATCTCATTGGCCATGGTTTCTAGCTGGTCTTGCATGGTTGTGTTAGAGTCCACTTGGTGAACCCCAACTAATTTTCTTCTGTCATTACTCTTAGTAGGCCACTGGTTAGCATCCTTTGATAATTCATCAAGGATTAATACAACCTCATCTAGAGTTTTCTTCATTAGTGGGACTCCACATGCAGTATTCAGAGTTCGCCGCGAAGAAAGTGTCAGTCTATCCCAAAAATCCTGGAGTTGCATCCACAAATCTATGCCATTGTGCTGACACTTTCTGACTATCTCCTTGAATCTTTCCCAAGCTTCAAAAACCATTTGTATCCTTATGAACTTCCCTATTTTTGCAGCTGAGAAGTACTTGTGAAGAAACTTCTTGGTCATATCTTCCCATTTCCTGATCCATCTTGTGGGTAAGCTACGAAGCCATTGCTTCGCGTCATCTTTAAATAAAAAGGGGAATTCCCTTAAGTAGACTGCATCCTTTGATACTCAATTATATTGGAAGGTGTTCATGATATCTTCAAAGTCCATCAATTGAGTATTAGGATCTTCGTTCACCTTCCCTGTGAAAATGCAGTTGTTTTGGATAATTTGAAGCAAGCTTGCTTCAATTCGAAGTTGTTTGCTGCTATGGGTGGAGGTCTGAAACTTGACAGTCCTTGATTATAGACTGGCCTAGCGTAGTCACCCAATGATCTTCCAGGCCCGGGTGCTAAATTCTCGAACTGGTCTTCAACCAAGGGTCAGTTTAGATTGAATCTTCGACCTCCATCATCATTGACGGTCTCATCAGCAATTTTTCGTGCAGCTTCTTGTTGTGCTGCCTCTCTTGCAGCTAAGTCTACTCCATCATTCTCTTTGTTTGCTATGGTATCTTGAGTCGAAGTTTGACCCATGAAATTTTTTGTTAATTCTCTTTCTTTTCTTAGTTGTCGCAGGTGTTTCTCCAACTCTAGTTCGTAGGGTATCACTTCCTTTGAAGAGGATCGAGTCATACACCAGAGAAATCAAACCTGTATCCTGTACACAAGTGAGAAACGTGAATACACTAAAGTAAAAATTGGTTCCTGAATTAGTACTAAAAACTATTTTAAACACTATTGATTGCCAATCCTTGGCAACGACGCCAAAATTTGACGAGCACAAAATACAACACAAAATTATTGCTTGCTATGCAAAGATAGTATAGATTAATTACCTTCTCCACATGGATTGGATTTAAACAGTGTTCGAATAATCTCTAGTTGATTATTATCCAGAAAAATTAACACTTGATTTGATGACTATTACTACGATTAACTACTAAAAATTAAACAAATAATAATTGATCACAAAAGACAACAGATGAGCAACGAATAAATATCAATGAGGGGAATAAGGGTATTTGACTAGATAGGTGCAAGATAACTGACTCGAGATCCAATTCTTGAGTTAATTCACTCTATAATATGGTTGATTCTCACAAATTCAATCGATAATCAGATTATGCTTGAAGTTAATGTTCTTCTTTCGATTAAACATTAATTCAGTAATTAATCCAATTGAAGCACGATAAATAATTGCAACAATAAAATGATGCTTATGATCTAAGGGTAACTTCTCACGAATATTCCCCTATTTTCTAATTCGATTAACAATTCAAGAGGCTCTTTCGATTACCTATTTGAATCACGAATTTAAACTAGAGCCTAAGATGTGAAGAAATTCAATATCAAACTCCTCTTTTGATTAAGCAAAATAATAATTAACTCCACAAGACAAATTAACTCTCCGTCAATTCATTCTAACAATTTTCAAGAATCGAATCCCTAATCAAGTTATCGAAACACCGTATCTGTCAACACCCTAATGAAAATTACTCCATAGCAATGGAGTATGACATCTCAATAAGGTTCAAAAATAAAGAAAACATCAATTCTAATGATTCGATACAAACTCACGTATTGCACCGATTGCTGGTCGAAATATTGATGAATTCTTGAGTCTTCTTGCCTTGGTTGATTCTCCAATCTTCTGTAGGTCAAAAGTCCCCTCAAAATCATATTTTTGGTGTATTTATACCATGTAGAAACAAATTCGGACAAAGCTACCCTTTCCTAGACGAAGTAGGAAACTACTCTGTGATTTTTTACACCCGCGTCGCGCCATGCGGCGTGCTTGTGAGGACAAATCTACCCTTTCCTAGACCAATTTTTGTGTTGTTGCACCGTGCCCCGCAGCACCCCATGCGGCGCGGCTGTGCCTTTTTCTCAGATAAATTCGTTTGTTCACTTTTTGACATCCGGACATGGTCCTCGACCCCCGAACGTGATCCCAACTTTATATTTTGAGCTTCTACTCAGACTTCAAAGCTCCAACTTGTTCGATTTAGCTCTAAATTACCTTAATAACTCGGAATCATTTTCTGCAAGATATAAAACAAGTAATAAGTGTAATTCACTATCAGTTAAGCTCAAACACACGTAAAATGCAGTAATTAGAGTGCAAGACTACGTCTAAAAGACGGGTTTGTAGCCTACCATCAATGTTACCCCATGTTTTTGTTTGTAAAAATACGTCGTAAGTAAATTGATATGGGCTCGGAAATGAGATCATATTTGAAAGTACATAAAGTAAGCTAGTCATGTTACCTTGCAGATTACAAATTCTTTTAGCTTTTAATCCTTCTAAACCTCTTGGTACTTGCAGTTCATGATTTTGAATATTTGTAACCTCCAAGGTAACATGACTAGCTTATGAGTGAGACTAGGGTTCTTAACATGATAAGAAGGTGATTTTATGATGTATTTTAGTTTTATTATAGTCGTGTGTTAAGTTTTGAAGTCAAGCGAGTTGTGAAATAAAAGTCGACGAAAGTCGTCACAAGTTACGTTCATAAATTGTACTGAAATTTGGGTCTAATCTTACTGAGTCTACGAGTCTATATTCTAAATCATTAAATCATTTGTCGATACGATATCAGAGTAGAGAGATATTCGTATTTCGCGAGACTGCGCATACAGCTCCCTTTGAGACCCACAAGATCGATTGAGAATTATCTTGCTATATAAAGTTATGGTCTTCGTCTCCAAGCCTTATTTTCTACCCAAATCAGACCTAAAACTCTCCCAATACCTCCTAAATATATCCTTAGTATTTGGAAGCAAAATCAAAGGTAGAGAAGGTGAAACAAGTGGATTCAAGCATTTGGAATCCGAACTAGTCGATAGTTCGCCTCTTTCTCTCTTCGTGGATGATTGAAGAAGGTATAGCAATGAAGTAAGCTCCGGAAATTGGGGGGTTTGTGTGCTATAAGGTATGTTCTTCACCCATTTCCTTGGGTTGATTCGTTTTTAGGCCATAGCAAGCCTAGATGTTCTTCACCCCTCTCACTAGGTTGATAAGTTATGGCATTTGTATTGTGACAATAGTGTTGTTCATTGCTTTTAGACACAGGAGCTGCAGGTTAAGTTAGATTTAGGATTATACGGTATGAGCACCTAATTTTTGACCATATTTAAATTTTTCACTACTCTTTAGTATATAAATAGTTTTTAAGTTTAATCTTGATATTTTAGTTTTTGTTTCACCTTTTTATAGGTTTTATTTGAGAAAATTGGAAACCAACAAAAAGATTCACATTTTTAGAATATTATTTTTTGTTTATTTGAAAAAGAAAAGAAAAACTCACAAAAAAATATGTTCTCTTTTAAAAGATACTTTAGCTAATATTTCATCATTATTTGTCTTAAAAAGAAAAGAATTTGAAAATGAAGCAAATAAAAAGAACCAATCAGGAATGACCAAGTTGCAAAAATTCTCTCACAATGGCATTGCCAATTCCATTTTTGTGCCTCACGTGCTCTCAGATAGCAGATTTTTCCTTTTAAGTGCATTGGAAAGAGAGAAAGATTCCTCCCAAGAAATTTCCACTCACCTGCTCACATATTCATCACACAATTAAGGGACATTCCTTGCACAACCGGGAGGGGGAGGGGGGAGGGGAACGAAAAAAGAAAAAAATGAGTGCTTCTTCTTCCTCATAGCAGCAACAAAAATCCACTGCTTCTTCACAAAACAAATCAGTGAACTCCCACAAATTTTAGCTTGAAACTAGGTTAAAGCAATCCCTAACTTCACCCCAAATTCTGGCTCAAAAACACCCCAACCAGCCCCAAAATGAAGTCATGTAGCAGTTGCAATTTTCAGTCGAGTTGTACACCAAAATCAGCCATGAAATCGCCTTGAAACCAACAATTTTTCCTCCACGAAACCCAGCACATCTTAACCAAAAATGGAATAGATCGGGTGAAGTTTTCTAAAAGTCCGTTCGAGTTAGAAGTTTTCCGGTCAAGGTCTTGTTCACGTTTCCGGTTCTGGCCGTGTGTCAGGTTTAAGTTTCCTCCTCATTTTGTACATTGCTGAAGGTTTTGAATCAAATTTGGAAAGGAAATTCTCAAAGGTGCATTTTAATTACATAATGAATATTTAATCCACTGAATGCTATATGCTTTGTTGTTTGATTGTTTCTCTAGTTAATGAATAGCTTCTACTTGTTTAAGCTTTCAAATGCATGTTTGGATGGATTTACATGTTGCTCATGGAATTTCTCTTCAACTGTTAATGTTAATTATTTATTGGCTTTAATGACAGATATTGGGCTGTTTGCTTACTTTAGTAATTTGCATTGACTGAAAAATCTGAAAATTAATTAATTTAGCATTAACATGCCCTTTGGAAGATTGTTAGATAATAAAATTGGGCCATTAAAGTTAATAACCAATGATGGATTATCTTACTGTTTGCTTGGTTTTCATTAAATTAGTTGTTGAGTTTTTCTTATTGGTTTCTTGTTTAATTAGAAAACTTATTAATTTACATGTTAAAAATATTGGTTTAAGTTTGGTACATAATCTGTTGAGTTGGGTTTAGTTAGACTTAGAGGATGAAGATTTGGCAGATGGGTTTTGAAATTTTAAAAAAAAAACAAAGTGGATTTGAAAATTTTCATTTTTATTTTTGGACTCTATTAAGCTGAACCATATCAGGCCCAATTAATAAGAGCTGTAGGTAACCCAATCTTAGTAAGTACATCCAGCTGGCCCATTTTCTTTTATAGACAAAATGCCAAGCTTTCCAGAAGTAGTTGTGTCTTCCTTTTAGCAAGAAGTTCATCAAGAAGTTGGTGTAAACAATTTGTAAATCATGCTCTTCCAATATTGTATTCCATAATCAATGACCTCACAACAAATCTCAAAGTAGCTTAGGACAATAATTCATGAACATCGTAGTTGCTTCCGGCGCGATTAAATAATAAATCGTCGTGACTATGGGTGCGGTTCACGTGGCATAGTCACGATACGTAAACCCCAATTCGAGTGCGCATTTCACGCGACTTGACCATAGCTTCAAATAATAATAATAAACATGTTGTAAATAGCAGGTGCATTTTACGTGGCACGGTTTGTAATGTGTACCAAAATGACAAGTGTACGATATCGTAACTTGTTCAAAAATAACTCCATAAATACTAAAAGCAGTTAAATAAATAATCAAAAGTGGTATAGAAGCGATAACACATAAAAAGTTAATAAACATGTAATAATTCAGATAATTAAGCCAAGTATTAATTGTTAAGTGACCGTGTTATAACCACGGAATCCGGGAGTGCCTCACATCTTCTCCCGAGTTAACAGAATTCTTTACCCGATCTTCCGTGTTCGCATACCATAAATAGAGTCAATTTCCTTGATTTGAGATTTTAAAATAAACCGGTGATTTGGGACACCATAATAAATATTTCAAGTGGCGACTCTAATTAAATAAATAATCTCATATGAACAATGTCACTTTAATTGAAAAAACTCCCTATTCTTCGGACAAAGGAGGTGTGACAGCTCTGACGACTCTACTGGAG